CCCTCAACAACCAGGGCCTCCAATATAATCTACAAGAAAACCAATCAAAGGACCAAAATGAAATGAATCATTATTAAAATCTTCTTGGCATTCTCTGGCAATATTAAATTAAAAGGGAATCAATGAAATCTCAAATTTGGAATACTAAAGTAAAAGGAAATCAATAAAGTGGAAATGGAATTCTCAATATTTTAATGGAAATCTAAATCCAAAGACCTCCAAAAGCATCAAATCTCAATGGAAATCTCCAAATTTTAAAAAGAAATCTCCATCCAAAAGCCTCCAAAAGCATCAACTCTCAATGGAAATCTCAAAATTTCTGATAGAAATCTCCATCCAAAAGCCTCCAAAAGCATCAAATCTCAATGGAAATCTTCAAATGTTTAATGGAAATCTCCATCAAAAGGCATCCAATCTCAATGGAAATCTCCAAACCTCCAATGGACATCTGAAGCAGCAACAGCAACAGCATTGGAAGGGGGGTTTAAGAGATGTTCAATGAGTTGTAGCACTTTAGAATCTGGAATATTGAAGCCTTTGAGCCTTGCCTTCCAGCTTCAACCCCCCCCCACTTGCTTGCAGGAAACACAGTGGTGGAGATGTTGAAGGCAAATCCTTTTAAGAAGGAAGAAAAGGCTTCAAAGAAAGGTTGAAGAAGAGTTGAAGACAGCTTGGAGGGGTGGCATTTCTAGATTGCAGGAAGCTTGAAGAAGCTTAAAGCACACCCTTAGTTTGAGCTTGGGTGTCCAAAAAGGTTCTAGGTTTGGCAGCTTGAAGGAATACTTTGTTAGAAGGGTTTGGAGTCCTGGGTTGGAGCTTGCAGTTTGAAGGGCTTTGCAAGGGTGCACTTTGAAGTTTCTTTTTGAGGGAGTTGCAACTTGCAGCATTCAGTTGAAGTCTGTTTTGCAAGGGCTTGCAGCTTGAAAGAATGGATTTGGAGGGGGGTTGCAGCTTGCAGCATTCAGTTGAAGCTTGCAGCAACAGCAGCTTTCAGCTTTTCAAGTGGGCCTTGCAGCGCGTGACTTTCAGCTTGGGATTTGCAGCACCTTGAATGACACTGGCGCAGCTTTCTTTTTGAGGTTTGTTTAAGTCCCAAGTGTTCTTAAAGACATGTTTCATCAGTTCAATTCATTGGGCACCTTGTTCAGGCCATGGCTTTCAGCAGCTTCTTGGAGAAGATCTTTGGCAGCTTGGGGTATGCCTTGGAGATGCTTGGGTGGCTTCTAGGCCACCTTGCAGTGATCTTGACAGCTTGGCTGGTTGGAGTTGGAAGCTTGGAGGGAATCAGCAACTGTTTTTTCTTTAAAGCTTGGAGATTGGTTTGCAGTTTGGAGACAACTATGTCTAGTCTCAAAGAATGTTTCAAAGCTGTGAAGGCATTGGCCACTTCCAGCTCCTGACACCTTTTGCAGACTGGACTGGCTTTGCAGGGGCTTTGCAGGTGTCTTTGCAGATTGAAGCTGGGTTATATTCTAGTAAGTCTTCATTTGCAGTTGCCAAGATAGATTAGACTCTTTGAGCTGTGGTCATTTGCTTGGTGGTGTTTTCAAGTGCGCATTGAGCTCAGCTCAGGTGCAAACCTTTGCAGTGTGCTTTGGAGTCTTCAAGGTTCTTCAAGATTTGAAGGCCCCTGTGGCCACTTTGGAGAGCATTGAAGGGTATGCTTCCAGCATCTATTCCAGCTCCAATTACATTGCAGACAAGGTTTGCTACATTGAAAGCAGCATCTCAGATGGATTG